TTTTGCTATGGTGCCACTTTTAGATAACAAAATGGTGATTTTTACAATGGTGCCACTTTAAGATATCAAAATGGTTATTTTTGCTATAGTGCCACTATTAGATATCAAAATGGTTATTTTTGCTATGGTGCCACTACTAGATATCAAAATGGTTATTTTTGCTAAGGTGCCAGTACTAGATATCAAAATGGTTACTTTTGTAATAGTGCCACTATTAAATATTAAAATAATTATTTTTGCTATCGTGCCACTACTAGATAACAAAATGGTTATTTTTGCAATGGTGCCACTTTAAGATATCAAAATGGTTATTTTTGCTATGGTGCTACTACTAGATATCAAAATGGTTATTTCTGCTATGGTGCCACTATTACATATCAAAATGGTAATTTTTTCTATGGTACCACTTTTAGATATCAAAATGGTTATTTTTAAAATTATGCTATTATTAGATATTAAAATGGTAATTCTTGCTATGGTACTACTACAAGATATCAAAATGGTTATTTTTGCTCTACTGCCACTACTAGATATCAAAATGGTTATTTATGCTCGGGTGCCACTACTAGATATTAAAATGGTTATTTTTGCTATGGTGCCAATTCTAGATATCATAATGGTTATTTCTGCTATGGTTCCATATTTAAATATCAAAATGGTTATTTTTGCTACCATGCCACTACTAGATACCAAAATGGTTATTTTTGTAATGGTGCCACTACTAGATATTAAAATGGTCATTTTTGCTATGGTACCACTACTAGATATCAAAATGATTATTTTTGCTATGGTGCCACTACTAGAAATCGAAATGGTTATTTTTACTATGGTACCACTTCTAGATATCAAAATGGTTATAATTACTATAGTACCACTTTTAGATATTAAAATGGTTATTTTTGCTATGGTACCACTATCAGATATCAAAATGGTTATTATTGCAATGGTGCCACTACTAGATATCAAAATGGTTATTTTTGCTATGGTGCCAGTACTAGAAATCGAAATGGTTATTTTTACTATGGTGCCACTCTTAGATATCAAAATAGTTATAATTACTATGGTGCCACTCCTAGATATCAAAATGGTTATAATTACTACGGTGCCACTTTTAGATATCAAAATGGTTATTTTTGCTCTAGTGCAACTACAAGATATCAAAATGGTTATTTTTGCAATGGTGCCACTACTAGATATTAAAATGGTCATTTTTGCTATGGTGCCACATCTAGATATCAAAATTGTTATTTTTGCTATGGTGCCACAACAAGATATCATAATGGTTATTATTGCAATGGTGCCACTACTAGATATCAAAATGGTTATTTTAGCTCTGGTGCAACTACAAGATATTAAAATGGTTTATTTTTGCAATGGTGCCACTACTAGATATTAAAATGATCATTTTTGCTATGGTGCCACTTCTAGATATCAAAATGGTTATTTTTGCTATGGTTCCACTTTTAGATATCAAAATGGTTATTTTTTCTATGGTGCCACTACTAGATATCAAAATGGTTATTTTTACTATGGTGCCACTACTAGATATCAAAATGGTTATTTTTGCTATGGTGCCACTACAAGATATCATAATGGTTATTATTGCAATGGTGCAACTATAAGATATCAAAATGGTTATTTTTACAATGGTGCCACTATTAGATACTAAAATGGTTATTTTTGCTCTATTGCCACTACTAGATATCAAAATATTTATTTTCACTAGGATGCCACTACTAGATATAAAAATGGTTATTTTTACTCTGATGCCACTACTAGATATCAAAATGGTCATTTTTGCAATAGTGCCACTACTACATATTAAAATGGTCAATTATCCTATAGAGCCACTACTAGATATCAAAATGGTTATTTTTGCAATGGTGCCACTACTAGATATCAAAATGGTTATTTTTACTCTGGTGCCACTACTAGATATCAAAATGGTCATTTTTACAATAGTCCCACTACTACATATTAAAATGGTTATTTTTGCTATGATGCCATTACTAGATATCAAAATGGTTATTTTTGTAATAGTGCCACTACTAGATATCAAAATGGTTATTTTTGCTATGGTGCCACTACAAGATATCATAATGGTTATTATTGCAATGGTGCAACTACAAGATATCAAAATGGTTATTTTTGCTATGGTGCCACTATTAGATATCAAAATGGTTATTTTTACTATAGTACCACTTTTAGATATCATAATGATTATTTTTACTATGGTACCACTTTTAGATATGAAAATGGTTATTTTTTCTATGGTGCCACTACTAGATATCAAAATGGTTATTTTGTTCAGGTGCCACTACTAGATATGAAAATGGTTATTTTTACTTTGGTGCAACTATTAGATATCAAAATGATTATTTTTACAATGGTGCCACTACTAGATATTAAAATGGTCATTTTTGCTATAATGCCACTTTTAGATATCTAAATGGTTATTTCTACTATGGTGCCACTTTTTGATATCAAAATCATTATTTTTGTTATGGTGCTTCTACTAGATATCAAAATGGTTATTTTTGCTATGGTGCCACTTCTAGATATCAAAATGATTATTTTTAAAATCGTGCCCCTATTAGATATTAAAATGGTAATTTTTGCTTTGGTGCCACTATTAGATATCAAAATGGTTATTTTTGCAATGGAGCCACTACTAGGTATTAAAATGGTCATTTTTGCTATGGTACCAATTCTAGATATCAAAATGGTTATTTCTGCTATTATGCCACTACTAGTATAACTTTGTCTAATTTACTTATTATATTGCCAGGCAATAATCTTACCAGTGTGACTTTTGGCTTCGAAATCTTTCTATTATCACCCAAGATACTTACATTAATATTTCTAGAGTTTTGTTACATATGATGAATAGATTATGTATCATAAAATAAATGCACATAATTACAATAAGAAGAAAAAGATCACATAGTTGGGTACCAATGCATCCTTTATTAGTATAATTTTACCATCAAAAATTGATGAAGAAACTTTAAGTGAATGAATTTTGACAATAACTTACAACAATGTAATTGTGACCTCAAAAATTTAATTATAACTTTTTTGTAGAGAGCAAGAAATGTTGCACATTAAAAAATGCTTGTAAATTTGACTAACAATTAATATTGTATGAATTTAATGCTCTTTCATTCATGTTCTTGAATCCTTATTTATAAATATATATAAATTAAATAATAATCCTTAAGTATTGTAATGTAAATTATTATCATTGATTCTATAGTACTAAAATAATCATATAAATAAGTACAATATTAATTATATATGAAGATTTACATTATTTTTTTAATAAAACTATGGACAATAATTTTAGGCATGTAATTTTACTTTATAATAATAATTTTGATTGATTTATATAAAAATATTTTATAATTATTTTATTAATAAATCCAAAAAAATACATTTAGTTTAAAAAAACTAATCAAATTACCATTTTTAATAGAAATAAAATAATAATTAAGCATATAATTTTACTTTATAATGATACATTTGACAATATATATCTATCTATTTATTCAACCTCCCATCCATCTATTATCTATCTTTATATTTATTAAAAAATTAGTTTTTGATTTGAATATGGAATTTTGGCACTAATAATATTTACATCTCTAATTTAAACTTTTGCAATTTTCTACTAACATGGATGCAATTATTTGCTATTGATTTAGACATTGATATTGTTAATTTTATCTAATTACCGCAATAAATTAAAATTTTAAAAAATATAGCCAAATTTATATAATTTTTTTTATTAATATCATGCAAAAATCATTAAAATAATGATAATAAAAACACATATAAACAAAAAATCATTTTTTATGCATACATACAGTATATATATATATATATATATATATATATATATATATTATAATTTGATATTTAAAAATATATTCACTAAATTAATAATAAATATATTCATAACTCAATTATTCAATGTTTTATGTGACAGTTCTTTTATTAAATAAAAAACTAATATTAAATATTTAGATTTTCTTTATCATATTACTCCCAAAATGAATCAAAACACCTCAATGCTAATAAATATAAAGACGTAATTTCTTTAAAAGTTTATTGTAAGAGTAAGTCTGTTAAATTCTATTTTTTGAAGCCATGCTATATGTGATTCATTATGCTTGCTTAGCATCTAAAAATTACCTAATGCATGATCCTTGGGATGAGGCATGGCTACCATGGAAGTGAAGCTTTTTCCAACAATTCGGAAAGCACTGGCCTTCCACACAGATAAGATCGAATAATGCATCAATTCACTAACCTTGCTTACAGGTTTTTGACTACAGTATTTACCGAATTCAACCGCATGATTCAAGCTCATTTCACAGAAGCTTAATCTAGGCAGTCTGAACATGAGAGCCACTGAAGTCAAGTTATCTCACAGAAATAAGATGCTTATGGTCAACTTTCAGAATCCAGCGTTGGGTAGAACTCGAACCCTTCAGAATGTTTGTTTTCATGCAACGAACAGCAATGGAACTTCCAAGGCAAGGAAACATCACACAGATTGTGATGTTAAAATAAGTATTGTGCAGGAATATGGATACCGTCTAAACCAGATCGGTAGCGTAGCTTTTGAAGAGTGGTTGAACTTCTGAGACTGTTGACTATGTGGAACATTGCTGTGCTGATTATTCACACTGGGAGTTACTTCAGGTCTTTCCAACAGTGTATGTCAGAGGTAGTGAACCTCAATTAAATGATGATCATGTTAATTGTAACTGAACGCATCTAATCACTCGAACAGTGCTACACACTTTTCTTCGGCACTTCGGTCTAAAAATATGTCGTTTTCGGGTTGAAGATGTCACACAGTTGGTCCAATTCGGAAGGCAGAAAAGGTCAGATGAGAACATTGTTATGGGTGACTATATGCTTTGGACAGCGTGCGTCATTTGTGATGCGTGCTGCGAAAGCTAACATCGACTGCCAACGATCAATGGGAGGCATAAGTGAAATCGCTACAAAAGCAAATGCACATTCTGGATTGCTTATTTTTTTATGCAAGCTGGAACACCACAATTATTGCAGCTGATGCGGCATTAATGTTCCACAAACTCGGGAATAATATCCCTCAAGAATCTTTCGTCCGGACTATGCGCACTTGGCGATAAGAATTCCTTTCAAAACTTTTGCGAAAGCAAACTAGCAAAAAAATGGGAATAGCCACAACATCTAACTAAGAATTCATCACGACTGTATACAAAGTCGGTGCTAATTACAGCAAACATTACGAAGACTATCAATATCTCCCCATACATGCACCTGCTGTAATGATCTCTCTCAGTTGTCAACCACACACGCAGTGCTACCTCACCCAGCCAAATCTGGAGACTGGGGACAACACGGGATTTTCTACAAACATGGCTATCTGTGACTTTCGATTTCCTCTCAAAGTCGAGCAAGCTGGGTATCACAAACTTGGTGATTCATGTGTGATTACGTTGCAGGGGGAAATAGGCTCAAGCAGGACGTTTGGTTCTGTCGAAGTTGCGCACTAACGTCGTCCTATGCACTGACGCAGCATAAAAGTTCGAACTCTGCACAGATGTTCCAAGTCTAGCTCTTCTCAACTGGGAAAATGCTCAGGACATCTGGAAGACTAAAAGGGCGCTGCAGAGGAATAGTGATTCCTACTCAGGTGAGCTTAAGGCAACGTACAGAAAACGTGAAACATGATCTGGATTTGATCATCAGACAGTCTTACTCACCTTTTGTTGCGATGCTTCCAATTACTTGACACAGGATACCAGAGCTGCTGCACTCTTTCGGAAGGCATGCTGAACGGCATAACTCTTGCGCAGTCATTCAGCTTACCAACTCCTCCTTGGATGTTTCGTTCTGGTGTCAGTTTTCAAAACAATCAAAACCTCTTGGGTGAAGGCTACTCGATTCAAAGATTCCGTGGCTGTCTCTCTCAGATAGAACAGCACCGCCTCTCTCGCAGAAAGCTCGTTCACAGCAGCACAAAGCTAGTCTGGTCATTTTTATACTTAATTTCAGCTGCCAAGAGGACCAATCAGTGGGCCCCGCAAACAATTATAGAATTGCAGTTTTTGCGTTTTGCAGAATCATCAAGCAGTCAGCCATCCACAGCATTCGATGTGCCACGACAAGGTCCTATATCGGGAAAGGCATTATTCTTTGCATTCCTCACTACTGCTGATGCTAATGATTCGTCATCAGCCTTTCTTCTCAAATTACATTGAAGGTCAAACAATCTTCTTCTCTTTGCGTGAAAATGAACTTTCAATTAGTCACACAAAGTCTTTCACATATCTCAGAAAAGACACAAACAGTAATTTTTGTTCTTCCGAAGAAAGGTCATTCAAACGGTGCCTATGTTTTAGCAGAACTGGTACTAATGTAGCCGTTTGAGTAAAACATAAACCCACGCACTATTCAATGCTTATAATAGATGCATCTTGTTCCAAAAAAAGACAGCACTAAAATTTTTATCTCATCAAAACCTAATGATCTGAAGTAAACGAAACCTAGATTCATGAATATGCGTTACACGTGCTCGGAATATTTGAAAAGGTACTGATTCAAACTAATTGCACGCACACAAACGATAACAAGCTGCAAGTTGTAGTTCCTCTATTGGATATTGCAATAGATGAGACTGTAGGAACATCAATCATTAGGTATTGTTGGATTCTGCTTGCATCAGACAATAAACCTGTCTGTACACATGTCTGTACCATTATTACTATTATAGCTATTTTTCCATTTATATTTGTATCAGCACTGATTCGGCGTTGTCGGGAACCACAGAATAAGAGGAACATCCAAACGTGGAATCCTGACCTGTCTGTGTTATCCAGCGGCTTTCTGGCCTTCACTGCGATGCCCACATGGCATTTATGAGCCGCTTTTGGACAGCTGTAATAATACAATGGTAGTGAAAATATCAATGTCAACAATTAAATAAGCGTGAATTTTCACATTTTCACATTCGGAAATGTATTTAGATATAAACAATAGGGCACTTTGAAGTGGGAAGATGGTTTGGGGAATTTTTCTTCCTGAAGAGGAGAACCCAGAGGGCACATCATGTATTTTTGTCTAGTAAAATGTAATATTATATCTATGTATATATATATATATATATATATAGATATGTAATTGTATATAATGAAAATTTTAATATGAATCTAGGTGGACTAAGGCATACACTTTTGGTGATCTTATATTACTATCCTTGGATGCCTAAACACACTATGATTGAATTGGTCCACATCAATTCTTCTAGTTTCTTTTTTCCATTTATTTCTCCCATTTTGCCTCTTTTTGATGCAATAATATAATCCGTTACACAAACTTGCAATTGTAAGTCGTCACAATAATTCGGGTGATATTTGATATTATCCAATGATTAATTTGTAAATGTTAATTTTTTGGTTTAAATGTTACTTAAAATGTTTATTTATTATTAAAATTGATTATATACATACATACATACATATACATACATATACGTACATATACATATGTGTATATATATAGATTATATACTGCAAAAATTACATCCATTTTTTTATGACCATTTTCTATTTAGAAACATTATATAAAAGTTAAATATATTTCAAATAATTATTACTATTCAGATGTTAAAAAACGTGTTTCTTAATTATAAAATATTCAGACGGATATATTTAATTATGAATTAAAGTAAAATTTATCCTTCAAGTGCTATGATTTTTTTAGAGTTCTTATTATATAAAATAATCTAAAAAAATAAAAAAAATACAATTTAAAAGTAAATATTCATAAAATAATATAAAAATTATTCAAAAGATCTATTGATAAAGTAGCCTATCTATATTTTTAGTTGATTAATAATCTTTAACCACTATCAAATGGTATTTTTGATTTAATTTTTTTTGATGGAATATTGTTTTGTTGTCAAAGACAGAATACTTAAATGGTAAAGAGAATAATTAAATAGATTAAATTCAAGTGTAAGATGAAATGTTTTTATAATCTGATTTTTTCATAATTTTGATCCATTTAAAAAAAATAAGTAATCAAAAAATCATTACACTTGTATATATTTTTTTACAAAAAAATATAAGACTTTTATAATTGATATATATATATATATATATATATATATATATATATATACACATCTTTATCTTATTACAAAGATTAATACTTTTAATTTTATTATTTTTCTTGAATGGTATAATATATAAATTTGTTATATTTTTTGATAAAAGTATCTTTTTTTTAAATTAAAATAAAATGTTCTTATTATTTAAAATTAATATTATTATTATTTAAAATTAATATTCTTATTATTTAAAATTAATATTATTACTTTTTATATTAATGTTAAAATTCTTTTGAGCCAATTAAGATTTTGAAGATTAATATGCTTTTCAAGCTATTTCTAAATTTTTTTTATACAGCATTAAGTTTAAAAATTAAAAGATGATAAAATTTTTTTAAAAAATATTTATATTTTAAAAATAAAAAACTTACTTTATTATTTAAATTTAACCATATTAATAGTTGTATAAAGATAGAAAAAAAATAACAATCAAGTATAGAATTATAAATAAGCTTTTATAAGATATTGAATTATAATTAAGGACATAAATCACAATAAAACTTTGAAGAGAAAATTTAGTCTTATATTACTAAAAGAAAAAAAGAAAGAAAAGAAGATATAAATAAAAGATAAGAAGAAATAAAATGGTTATTATCTATTGCAAAGAAGCTAAAGAGTCTTTATCTAAGACTTAAAAAAAAGGTATTGATAAAATTAAGGATGGTTTTAATCTTATATATATATATATATATATATATATATATATATATATATATACATATACTAATTACAAAAAAGGTCTTATAGAAACTTTTTAAGAATTTCAAGATTTGTAGCTAAATTTTCAAGTTATAGGTTGTTTTTAATGCAATTTCTTGAAAGAATAAATTTTTAAGACAAGTTTCAATAGCTACTTGGAATATTTGTAAAAAATTAAATATCTAATCTATGTCTAAAAACTTTTAATTTTAAAAATAGTAATAATATCTTCTCCATATATTTTTACATATGTCAATTAATTTTTATTTATCTCTATATACTTCTATTTATTTTTATTTGTTTAAATAAAATATAAATGGTTTATATTATCTCTTCTTCTATGCAATAAGTTCTACAAAAATAATCAAATTAGTCTATAAGTTGATAAAGTCTAAGAGTCTTAATATGATATTAAAAACAAACTTAAGAAATTTGATGGTATAAGAGCAAAGTTTTAAGAATTCATCAATAAAGAAAAACTAGATATTGAACTTCAACCTTAAAGCTATTCAATTCTAAGATAAGAAGTTAATATTATTTAAAGACTACTTTAATGTTTTACTTTATTATGGTTTTTATCTCTTTTTTAATAATATATTATCTAATATTAGATAATTTGGAGATTTTTTTGGCATAATTTCAATCTATATAAGAAAAACATAATATAATTTATATTAGAATATACGTGATTTATAATTTGTAATAAGAAAAATAAACAATAATAATATATGCTTCACAATTTTAATGAATTGTAACTGTTATAAAGTCGGATAATGCTACATTTATTAGCCAATTTTTCTATGGATTTTAATATGAGCTAAAGAAATTTATGCTCAACATACATGTTCTTAAGATATTGAGTGAAGAAATTGACTTTTCTATAAAGTGAGATAATTAACTTTTAAAATTTTAATCTAAGAATTGCACAAGTAGTTCACAATGTTTTTATAATTCACTAGAAAAATCAACATCTTTTCAACACATATATTGAGAAGTGGAAGAAAATAAAATTGAAGTGGTATATTTTAAACTTTTTATTGAGCAAGTAAAGACTTATTATTATCAAAGAAGATTGTGCTTATATTGTAGAAAATCTCAATATTATCCAAAGAATATTTAAGCATACTCAATATTGTCCAAAGAAGCAATGCAACTACAAAATGAAGAATATGGCTATCAAAAAAGATAATATGTCAAAAATTAAGTTTATCTAGCTATAATAAGGATTATATAGCCAAAATCTTGTACAACATCTTGTAAAGTTTATATTCTCTCTTCAAAATCTTCTCTTTATTTTATAACAAATGTTTGATTAGAATTTAAACATAAAAAAGCCTTTATCTTAGTAGACTCAAGAGCCTTAGCTTATTTTTTAGATATTTTTTTTTAAAAATAATATAGCATATTTTTAGAAAATAAAATTATACTTATATTTATAGAAAGTATAGATGGTTGTTTTTTTTTTTTTTTTTAGATATATTATTTATAAAATCCTTGCTATAAATATATCAATTAATGGTCATAAGAGCTTTGAGATATTTAATATCATTAGATCCCTTTGTAGTATAGTAATTTTAGGTTTATTAAGGCTATAAAGGTACATTCCTCAAATAAATTGGATTTCTTATAATCTTGACTTTTTTTAGAGCATATCTAAGAGTTTTTTTTAATCAAATAAAAATTTATAATTTTAGTGCAACTAAACCTTTATTTGTAGGTGTGAGAACTTTCTTCTATGCTGTAAAATAAAGATCACATTGTGTAATTTATGCCACATCTATTTTTAATAATAAAAAGGCTTTAAGTAAAATTCTAAGCGAATATTAAGATTATTAATATATTTTTGAAAAAAAACTATGGATATTCTTCTAAAGCATTGTTTCTATGATTGTCCGATCAACCTTAAAAATGAATCTTAACAACTATTTTGATTAATTTATAATTTATCACAAAATAAATTAGCTAAACTCAAGAATTATTGTAATGAGAATCTAGCTAAGAATTTCATATATCATTCAAATTTCATATAAAAGCTTCTATTTTATTTATAAAGAAAAAAGATGGATTATTGTAAATGTGTATAGTTATTAAAAGCTTAATAAGATTACTATAAAAAATAGGTACCTTCTACTTTTGATA